TGTGTGTGTGTGTGTGTGCGTATACATGAATGCACCTGCTGTTTGTGTTTATCTGTATGTTTACTCTGGTTTTGGCCAGTCAGTGATCAGCCCATCTGTGGAAACCAGATTGTGGAGGAAGGTGAGGAATGCGATGTCGGTCACAACGACACGGACCTCTGCTGCTACAGCGCTAAAGAGCCTATCGGAGTCCAGTGTCACCTTAAGCCTGGAAAAGTCTGCAGGTAAACTGGATGTAAATATATACACATATACAAAGTGTGTGTGAAATCACAATAACATACATTCAGACATAAACTGTACATAAAGACGCATGATATGACAAAAGTTAAGCCAAACCATCTCGATCACCTCCGAGTGGCTGGCTGCAGTATTAGTCAAAAACCCTGTCTCCTCCATGTTAGTGGATGATGAAAATCTTGCATCGTTTCAGTTGGATATGTTTTTTGGGGGATATTTTATTTTAGTGTTTGTGTGATGTCTTTTTTCTCCTCCATCAGTCCGAGTCAGGGCCTGTGCTGTGCTCAGGATTGTGGTTTTAAGCCAGCTGGTCAGACCTGTGATGAGGAGACGGACTGTCTGAGAGAGAGTGAGTGTACAGGCCTCTCCCCGTTCTGCCCCGAGCCATTGGCCAAGGAAAATCTCACTGTCTGCAGCGAGAACACGCGTGTCTGCATGAACGGGGTGAGGGAACTGTTTTACCATCCATTATATTCGTAAACAAATCGACTATTACAACATCGCATCAGCGCCATTATTGATCAAGGCAACGTGTGTGACAAAAAAAACAACAACATGAGTTTCATCTTAACTGAATTTTCTCGATCGTTAACTATGGATGACAAAGTGTCCTCTGAGCTGCAGAGGAGAATACTTCATTCCAGCTGCAAACATGGTTTTCATCACATGCCAACCTCTAATAACCTGATGCATGAACATGATTTTGTGGGGATGTCAGTAATTTGTTTATGAGGTCCAAATTAATAACAAAAAAATGTCAAATGACTAATACTCATATCATCCCCTTTGTTGGTTCATCTGAACTAAATCAACTTTTTAAAAACACATTTTCGTATGTTGAAAAATTGTTGCCAGAGGAGAACTGTGGAATTGTCAATAGCCTGGATAAATACTTAACAATTTGTACAACTTTAATTTAGCTACAAAAAAAGGTGCTGCGCTATTTTATGTCTATTTACTTCAGTGTAAATGTAACTACACCCACTAATGATGTCACAAACACCCTGAGGTACAATTCAGAACAACAAGTCTTGTACTCCCTTTTTGCTAAACAGTTTTAAATGCGGTCTAAACTTTTATTGTATTTATGTGTTTGTACCATTGGTTTTCAGTCATTTCAATAAGCAGACTCTTTAATCTTAGATTAAGTCCATTTCTCCTGAACGTTTCTGTGTCTGTGGTCATACCTGCAGGTGTGTGCTGAGTCTGTGTGTGTGAAGCACCGTCTGCAGCAGTGTGACTGTCCTGGAGACTCCATGAGGGAGAAATGCCACATGTGCTGCCAGCAGCCCGGTAACCACAGGCCCCATGTGTGCACCAATACTGAGGAATGTGTTTACACTTTGTAGCCCAACAAATCAGCCTGTGTCAATTTGTACTGAGGTTACACTCGCACATTATTGTTTTCCATCAGATGACATCACAGGCACTTCAAGCCAACCCATCTGTCGTGATGGTCACATACAAGGAATGGGATGTTTTTTAAAGGAGCTTTGAATGTGACACACTTTTGAAGAATTACAATCTATTTCTCACATTATTCCAAGAACTAAGTTGTTTTGCCGAATAATTGTAAAAAGAATTTACCATCACCAAGGGGTCAGAAAAAAGTTCAACACAAAGTAACTCTAACTACAACATCTACGCACTCTTGTGTTGTAATGATATTCTCTCTCTTTCCGTGGCAGATAAGGCCGAGACATGTGCCAGCACCACCTCGTCTGTGCTGTCTCGTCACTTCCAGACAAAATCGTTGCCGCTGGTTGGCGGTGCTCCGTGCTCTGGAAACCAAGGGTACTGCGATAAATTCCACGTGTGTCGCCTGCTGGATGCCGACGGCCCCATCGCAAGACTGAAAAACTCCTTTCTCCATTTTGAAGACTTCGATGACTTAGCAGAGTGGATGAAGGTTAAAATTTACTTTGATTCCTCTTGATAACACATTTCGCGGATGTGAAGTGATAAAGGTTGGAGATCTCATAACACAACTAATACTACAAGGAACTGTTTAAGTTTGTCATGGCATAAAAATAACTAAGTCCTGCAATCAGATGGGTCAACATATATCCTGATACAGGAAGAAACACAGAGAACTAGGTCAGGGAGCTTACAGTGACTAAGTAGAACAACTGTCAACTGGCAAATGAAAAAGAGGGGAACATCAAGTAATTTCATAATTATACAGGAAACAAAAACTGGCAGTCTGGTGTAACCATGGTAGCTAATGTGAGCTAATGCTTGAAGTAATTGATTCATGCATATTGCAAAAATTCACCGTACACGCACAGTGCAGAGTTTGTGACCACTAGTAGTGCTGTAGAGCAACATTTTGATGAGTGGGCTCCTGTAGTTTAAATCTTGTGCAGGTTGCAGAGGCTGCTAACAGCTGCTGGGGATAACCAAAGGACTCCAATCCAAAATGTGCTAATAAATGCTTTCAACTTATATGTTTGGTCTAAAGAATACACATTTTGAAATACAACAAATCTTTGTTTTTTTTAAATAATCTGGTCAGTGTATGGTCTGCCAAACTGTTTTAAAATGTCTTATATTTTATATAATATAATATCACTTTACTATTTCAAAACATATTTGATGAACGTTAAACTGTTGTGTTAATCCTCTCAATCAGATCATCTTGTTTTAACACTTTAGATTTGGACCTCAAGCTACTGCAATGACTTAAATGACCTGGACATTAGGTCAGAGTAGGGTTTCCATATTTCTATTGTGTGGTTGAAAAATGACCTCATGCTCTAGCTGAGGAAATCGTCTCTGTGAAGAAGCAGCAGATGTTTGCCAGAGGTCGCATCCTCAGCTAAGTGTGTTTGTTAAACTTCCCGTCATGTGGTTCAGATAGGTAGCTTCCTTTGAGCTTTAGTTTCTCACGACAGCACGGAGAATCAGGAATGTTCATGTGTGTTTAAATGCAAGCATCAGCCATGACTGGAGACAGAAACGAGCCTATGCTTCAGGAGCAATCGTGTTATTTCCCCATGTCCGTCTCGCTGTGTTGTATTGCAAGTAATGGACATGGAATAGAAATACTTATGGAATAAACCCTGCATTGCAAAAATATGGAATTTCAATATACATTTTGAATTTCTTACAAATAATATATAGCAAACCAAACCTGCTGAAGTGATAATCTAAAAGTCATTGGTTGCATTTCTTATTAATTCCAGCTGCAGGTTCAGTCAGTGGAAGACACACTGATGCTAATGCAATGGGATTAAAAAGGGTATTAGTTTGACTAATATCTTGCTGAGAAATATAATGATCAGTAATCCAAACTATGTGATATCTCCTTAGGTCATAACTCATAATGAAAAGACAATATCATGTATGTGTCTCTGCAGGCTCATTGGTGGGCCATCCTGCTGGCTATCCTGACCCTGTCTGCAGTGATGGGCTGCACCGTCTGCCTCTGCGGCCGCCCCCTCGACACCAGCGACCCCGAGTAACCTTCTTCATCTCTCTCACCTCTGGGAAGACAACTATCCTCAGGATGACGCACAAAGTCACTTAGATTCATTTATAAGGGATTTTAAAATTGTCAAGGCCACATTGAGGAGATTCCTTTTTTCAACTTTGTTCCATATTTGCAACAGTGAGTAGGGTGCGTGTGACTTGTGAAGACCCGGCAGCTCCACGCCTCTCGCTCTGTTTGGTTAACTACTTTTCAACGTCATTATGCATCAGTCAGTTCTTTTCCTTGTGTAACTTTGTTTCCATTCAAACATTCTACCATGCCATCCATGTGATGTGGAAAACGCTACTGTTGCTGTGGGTCAGTCGGGCCTCAAGGGACAACCAGTTCACCTCTATTGATTTAAAGCCAACTGTCCTGACAAAGACTGGTGGGACTCATTTTAGCTTGCCTTACTGCTTTGTTTGAACTTGAGTGCTAATTTCAGCCTTGATGAACATCCAGCTGTCTGACACAGATATTTTGAATATTGTCACAGAACAATAAGATTACAAGTTGGTGGATCTCTACAGGGCCTGAATACTACATTTACATACAGGTAGCGTTTGAATATGGAAAATGCCCTGATGAGGGAATAAAGCAACACTTTGTTTATCATCTTAATCAGTAATATTGATGGTACCACAAGCAAGGAGGAGCAGAACACAGGCAGGATCAGGTTTACAGTCTGAATGATGGACAAGCAGGTACAGACAAGAAGTAGGTAACAGGCACATAGGTCACACTGAGACAAACAGTTGGTCGGAGAAGGCGCTGATAGAAATGGCTGGTTTAAATACTGGCTGACATGATGAGGAAACTGCTAACAGGTGTGAGAGTGGGCAGGAGGCTCAGGTGAATGAGAATGACGGTCAGGTGAGCAGGTAGATGAGCAATCAGGTGACTGAGTCCGGAAAGAAAGTATGTGGACGTCTGGTGGCAGAGTCTAGCAGGGTGAAGCAAGTAACTCAAAGAGATTGTTCACCCCAAAATGAAGATTCACTCATTATCTTCTCACCACTATGCTGATGGGGGGGTCGGTGAAGTGTTTGAGTCCACAAAACATTTTTGGAGTTTCAGGGGGTAAACAGCATTGCAGCCAAATAGTTGGTGTAAATGGTGACCACTTCTTCAAACGTAAAAAAAACAACAGAAAAATACACAACAGCCTCCATTTGACGCGAAATAAATACATTTACATGTTTTTAGCCTAAATTTCTGCTGTGAAGGATTCACCATTTACTTTAATTGTATTGGATTTGGCTGCAATGCTTTTTATCCCTGAAACTCTTAAAAGTGTTTTTTGGACTTAAACACTTCACCCACCTCTCCTGGTGCACACTAGAGGATTGTCAACTCTTAACTGATTTTTAAAAATGTGGGAGTCAACAGACATATTGACAAAGTTACATGATTTTTTATACTTGTTACTACTCACAAACTTGACAATTTGGCCAGAACATAAGACCACACACTAAGAAAGGATCACAGTGGAGATTTTAGAGACTCTCACAGAAACTCACATGATCAAATGTGACCTCAGAAGAATGACCCAGTGTTCCACAAAACAATAAAGACAAGAGAATGGTAGAAAAAGATGTCTAATTTCATGTTTCTTTTTTTTCTTATTTCCAACTGGGAGCCACTAGACTTAAAATGTGGTTACAATCTATTTTTTTACACTATATATATCTATATATTTACACTGTAATTTTACACTGTTAGTATCTTTATTTAAGTAAAGAATGTGAACACTTCCTCCAACACTTATTATTTAACTGTTATAGCCACAAGCCACAAGTGCACAAATATCCTGATTCATTTTCTTGGGTCACCTTTACACCGTGAACATGCATGTAGTGTCACATCTGCAAGGACATGAAGAAAAAGCAAAGCTATGAATTTTAACAGTTCCTATTACCTTTATATCAAAAATAGATGTGTATGATAGTTTAAATTGTCAAAATATTTTGCATAAAAGACAAATTTGACCGATAATACTTTAAAAAGTAATAACAACTCTTTTAAAGATTAAAGTGAGGATGAAACAAAGCTTATAGCATAATTTCACTGTTGTATTGTTGAAATAAAATGTTAGGCTCAGACAACCTCTCAGGGGCAGATTTGGTTTATTAAAGACTTTATATAGCAGAGCGAATATTTACAATTATGTACAAACGATTAAGAAATATATATTTTACAGAATAACTTCCTCCAAAGGTGAAAACATATAACCAACAATGTTCCATATTACAAAACCACCACCATCATTCTTATCATAATTCTTATTATGGTATTTACACTCAATTTACTGTACAATGTTGTCAAATGTTTTCAGTGCAAAAGTGAAACATCTCCTTTTTAAAATAGGTGGAAATGAAGTCACAATGTTTACAGTACTGATCTCTAAAGAGCTGAGGTTTAGATATTGCTCATAGGAAAATGTAAGAGTTAATATTGTAGAAATCTTAAACACAGAAGGAACTTGTTTGTACCTTTTATTCAGAATGACGAGAAGGGATAACTAACATTCCAGTTTTGAACTGGCTGCGTGAAAGTGGCTTGGGATTAACGGCAGCCTCTACGTCACACTGAGCACCGCATACTTTGAAAAGTTTCGACACAATCATAGAAAAATGGCAGACAAAACGTCAGGCTTTTCTTTGAGGTAACAGCTCTCGATTAAAGTCTTCCTGCAGAGGTGCAGCAATATAAAAAAGTGTGTTTGAGGGTTTCGGGCATCGCACAAGTTTGTACAAAACAGCAAGAAAGCACTAAGTTAAGAGACAAGGGTACTTCTAGCGACCGTTTCCAGTAAGGCACACTGATCCAGGTCCCACAGTCACGTATCGTGCTGAGAGCCACAGTGGTGAATGCTCTGGTGAAGAAATTGTAACCTATTGAATAAAACACCTTAAGAAATTCACATTTATCATTATTTTCCTCTTCATTATTCTTCACAGTGCTTGTTATAGGTTTAAAATGTAACTTGAGGTATTTTACACAATAGGACGTTTGTACCTCCAGTACAGTCATACTGGGGTGTCTCACAAAAGACTGTGAATAGTCACTAAAATCTGACTGAATAATCCATATCTACCAAAGAGATTTACTTTTTGTACAACAAACAATGTACAATAATGATGTTAGAGAATATTACACGGTAATTTACATACACGTTGTTTTAAATAACCTCTGTGGATATTTACAAGGCAGTGATGGATTTTTATAATTTGAGAAATAAAATAAGTTATTTTCTAAGTGCTTAAAAAAAGAACCAGAGAGTTTTCAACCGTTGGATATTTTCTTCAAAGTCAGTGGTTCTCCAGAGTTATTCTACAGACAGAGACAAAGTTTTATTGTTATTTACCAGCATTAACAGTTATGGTAATATTGTAAACGTGAGTAAACATTGAGTCCCACTTACCTTTTGGGGATTGATCTCCACGAATCTTTACATTTAACAAATGTGACCTCCTGTGTTAAGCTCTGAGCTTCAGGGTCTTTTACACAGAACACTATCCTGAGAGGGAAATTCATAAATCAGTTGATTCCACGCATCATGAATAAATATATATAAAAATATATGGAATTCCTGGTATTTTTTCCTGTTTTACTCCACTTACTTTTGCTGGGTCTCTCCAGTTCTAATTCGGATCTTGTGAACCTCAATGTTGTTGCTGTCAGAGTCGCCGGACCACCAAGAGGAAACCATCTTCAACATGCTGGAGGCCGACCAGCCGTTTGTCTCCTCCCATTTAAACTTCAGCATCAACAGGTCGCCGATATCCTTCTCTGTCACCAGCAGGAATGAATGTGTCTTATTTGTCGCAATTTTTTCTTTTCTGTCATAAACAAACAGACAAATGTTACAACATGCTTGTGATTATGTCTTATTGATTTTAGCTTCGTAGACTATAATACAAACACTGGTTATATAAAGGTTTATGGTCTAATTTTCTTAAGCTACTGTGCAACCGTCACAAAATAGTTCATAACTCGTAAGATATAGGTCACAGTTCTGTAATTCTGTTTTATAAAAGGTTTTTAAACTCACAGTTTAAGCTCCAGGTTTTCAGCCTCTCCTGTGGCTCCGTACAGCGAGACAGTGAGCGAAGGCTCCATCTCTGAGCGGTTCACCTTACTGGAGAAGTGGATCTTCAGCTGGTAGTGGTAAACTGCAGAGCGAGAGAACATGGGAAACTTTAAACATGCATGTAGGCTTCTGACGCTGTAAGACTGACCAATTTCATCAGTTTAGCAAAAGTAAGTTCCATGGGATCCGACATTTGCAGCAGCTGTCAGGATTTTAAACTCCACCAGGCATAGAAAGTCTTTACATTATTTTTAACACTTGTTCAAAGTTTTTTTTACCTCCGTCAATGAGGACATGTTTTTACCCCTGGTTGTTTGTTTGTTTGTTGGTTGGTTTGAATTTCAGATGGATTAGGCAAAAATCACACTTCAACCCAACAGCTGATGGTACACATGGTAAAACACAGAGGGGCATTAAAACTTTCTCATCATGTCCAACTGCAGCTCTGTTGCTAGGCAACAGCAATAGGGGTGGGACAAGATTGCAACACCAATGATGGAAATCCTCTGTAGACCAGCCCATCTCATTTCGGTTCACTAGCTAGAGTGTTTTTTGAATTAGCCGTTGGACCTTGTTTTAGCAAACAACCAGGTCACTTGACTGGAGTAAGTTAGGAAACAGTGCAGTAGTTTGTGTGTGAAAGCAGTGATGAGTTGACACAACACTTTCTGTTGCTGAAGTCCACTGACCTCTGAAAGGCATGGACGCCCGTGTATTGGTGTACATCTGAACATTGCGCGCCTTGCGGACCTTGCTGATGTCGTAGCCCACCGTGTTGCAGCGGTTTTTGCGGCAGCTGAGACACATGCCGCGGTTGAACATGTCGTTGCTGCCACATCTATAGGCCTTGGCGGCATCCTCCTTGTTCAACAGGGAGTCGATGAACAGGTGGACCGAGCGCTCGTGTTCACACTTGACTGCATCAGTGATCGCTGAGAGGAAAAGACGAAATAGATTTAATAACAGAAACTTTTTAATGGCAGGATATACTGAGTGAAATACTGGTTTTAATTACTAGGGAGAAATATTGAGTATTATGTTGCAGCAGAACTCTGAGGCTATTTGCTTGTTTTAAAACTAAACATCTACATTTTCATTATTCTCACGTTTTCTGAATTTAAAGTTATCCTCACCGAATATCCCAAAGTTTGCAATCTTCTCAAGGGCGCCCCTGAGGTTGCAGCCCGGCTGGAAGCTGCCACCGTTGGGGTAAATGTCCACGTGGCCGACAGGCTGCTGGATGCCGATGCTGAAACCCAGGGAGCCCCGTGTGAAGGTGTGGAGGACGTCCACGAAGTAAGCGTCATCTGGGGACAGGCGTCTGTGGGCGTGCTCCCCCTCAAAGTCAGGACCAGCTGGGTCCAGACCTGCAGAAAGAGAATTAACCGATCCTCAGTTATCATTGACCAAATGAATAGATCGCACAATGTAGGGTGTCTAAATCTTCTATTTCATTTACCAGTTATTCTTCCGACTTTATTGGTTGCATGGCTGCCAGCAAATCCTGCTACATGAGCCCCGAGGCTGTAGCCAATCAGGTGGATGTTCTCCAGAGGCATGTTGGTGGTTTCCTAAAATAATAAAGGAAATTGAGACAAATGTCCCCTGTCATTTTTACAGGTACAAGTTTACAGTCATACATTTTAAGCAGCCATTACTACATGTCGTCTTGTGTCAGAGATAAGAGGGTTTATTGAAAATGTGCCTTTTAATAAAGAGGTGAGGAAAAACCATCTACTCCTCAAAATGGATATTTATGTGAACGGTTTGCTCCCACTGACCTCGATCCAGTCGATGAAGCGAGCGATCTCCTGCCCCACTGCTTTGGTCTTCTGAGCTGCGACCACATAGTGGTTCTGTGCCGAGGTGAGCCAGTCCACCACGATGACGTTCGCCGTCTGTTCTCGCTCATACAGCGCTATCACCAACTTTTCCACCCAGCTTTCAAACATACCACTCAACTGTTGGAATGACACATAAAACACTGAACTTACAATGTGTATTAACATTTCAGCAAGGACATTGATGCTGGTAACAATAACATTCTTGGAGGTACAGGTAAGTTTTGCTTCTCAAGAAACCTAGTCATATGCATTTGGCAAGACATCGTGGCACCACAATTTGGTGAAATAATGAAACACTTAACCAGTTACAGGTGAGATTTTTTTTAACCAAAGACTAAGTTGAGTGAACAAAGTCCTCTGGGGTTTTAAAGACCAGGGCAGGTCACAACAGGCTAAAGCATCTCCACTCACTGTCCATCCGTGGATTACTAGGAAGGTTTTGGCGGTGCTGTTGAAGGTGCAGGCTGCCAGGGACTCAGGTTTTCCAGGAACGATGTAGCACAGGTCGTCGTCGGGATGGGATGGTTTGCGGAGGGAGAATTTGGCCACAGTCTGATTGCTGTCATCTTTGTGGTTGAAGAGGTTATTCAGAGGCTCGAGGAAGTTACCTGAAAGAGAAGAAAGTTGTGATTTATGTTTTTTTTTCTTAAACAACCGTTTAAGAAGAGAAAGAAGACATGAGATCTTCCTGTGTGCAGCTGATGTTTTTGTCAGATGTGTGAATCTGATCTAATGTTCTGGCTGAAGTTTGGAGACGCATGACTAGCCGACTGAGTGACGGTTTCCAATAAGCTCCAGCCCCTCGGGCCCCTCAGTAAATGAGCTTCTACCTTCGACGAGATCAGTTCTCAGGGGTTACAGGGGTTCACTTGATCAGACCGAACTCCACAGAAATCACCCAGAGTTTTTTTTTCTTCTCCCAGCTTTGTTCCTGCCACCTCACCGACTATAATCTGCCCAAGTTTCAGTAGTCCGGACACAGTCAGCTGACTCAACTCATCTGGGGGTTGTGCTGGATTTCAGAGTGGGGGTGGATGTAGGAACCACAGAGACATTAACAAGGCATAGACTACCAAAGGGTTGGAGATGTTAAGGGGCTATGTTGCAAACATTAAAGAGGTGATGTTTTCACTTCCTGTTAATAATTGTATAATTAAGTTGCCTGGTTGTTTTCAGCACATGGTTATTCTTACTGTTAACATTTTCATCTTGTCTCTCAAACTCATTTAACAGCGGGAGGAAAGTTGGATGTGCGCCAAGACGCACAAAGAAAGGTTGAGTCATAGGCACGTGATGTATAGTACGTCTCACCCCTCTCACACACACACACACACACACACACACACAAACACACACGCTTTTATCAAACCCTCCAGTCCTGTATTAAGTGGATGAGGTGGAACTGGCAACTCACCAAAAGTAGAGTCGGCGAGCTCCTCTTCCAGAGACGTGACATTGTGCACAGCTGCGATCAACACCAGAAACTCCAGGAACCCGACTCTCCACGCTTTCATTTCTCTCACAGCTTATTCCGGTTCGAGAAAATACCGTTAACGATGAATGGCACCGAGCAGACCCCGCAGAAGAAGAGCGTGTGATGTATTTCTCCTGAGAAATAGTCCCGTGCGTCCCGTTGCGCGCAGAGCGCTGATATCTGAGCCAGCTTGAACATGCCGCGTCTTAAATAGTACCTCTGAGCTGCTATTGGCTGCTGAGCCTCGGGCGGGGAATGGGAAAATATGTGTAAAGTCAATAATTAGACTGTTTGAAGAGAAGCGGTTTGTAGTGTTGCTTGTAATTAAAAACAGCATGTTGCCTTTTTAATATATCATTTCACTTAAGCCCATATATTTGTATCACATCCTACAGGAGGAACAGATTCCTGCAGCTTACTCAGGCTGATGTTTAATTGCCCCTTTACTGGCTTTATTGATTAAATATTACATTATTGTATTGATTTAAAAAAAAAGGACATTCCTTCCTTTTAAATTAGGCTTTATCTAATGTGAACCTATTAAAGTATGTTGTGATGATGTGTGCAACTGGGCTCGATGTACACATGCAACTTCTGAACATACAATGACCTGGAAGACTGAGAACATGTAAAAGTTTGATCAATAATAATTTTAATTCAACAGAAAACACAACTATCGTCAACGCTGTGCATGTCTTCCAAAGAAAAGGATAATAATGAAACTTTATTCAGAGAGCGAGTTTAATGCGAAAACATGCTTCGCTTCAGAAAATATTCATAATACAATAGAGACAGAATTTGAATCGAGACAATCAATACCAGGTTACTTTTAGATAGGATAAGATAAAATATCAAGACAAATGCAAAATTAAAGGTGAGTTTCAGGTTTTCTTTTCCTTTATTAAACCAACCACCAGATCTCCAGATAAAGAAACATGGTATTTAGACGATAATCACAGATGAACTTTGCTGTAATCTGTTGCCAGTGTCTACATTCAGTTCGGTGTATGGACGCTGCAGGTTGTGTGTGTTTTATGAAACAGTAGTTGTGTGCAGTATGTGTCAGCGGTCACCTACATGGTCGACTCTCTCCCTGACATTCCAGAACACAGACTGCCTGGCTGGTAAGATTTGGGGCCCCTCACTGATCTGCTGTTGTCATGGCATCAGAGGCAGAAACAAACCTGCTGTACGTAAGCTAGACGTTTTCTTGGGATGTTTTAAACTCGCAACTAAGAGGTTCTTTGAAAATACATGATATACGATTGTTATTTTATACTTATCTTATTTCTTCTTTTTTACTATCATTGCATCAAATAAAAAAAACAGTGAAGTTGAAAGTTGTCAGCTGACCTGTAATGTGTTTGGAAATCACAAACTCAGTTTCCATTATTTCAAATATTTGGATCTTTGACCTTTGACCCATTTCATAGAGCATTACACTCACCAACTGGGTTAAATTGCAGTTACACTCTAGCTGGAGATCAGGTGCCAATATTTAGGTAGACAGACTATTTGGCTTTCTCTGGCTGATTTGTTCCCCAAAACTGTGGGATGAGGTGCCAAGATAAACTGGGCAGGAGGCCGAGGAGCTGATGGTCGAAGGGTATTGTTGTTGATCAAACAGTGACATGTTGACCCAACAAATCACAGACATTATAATGAATGATCATAAAGTGTGAGGATTACAGTGTAATACAAATACAAGTTACTTATATATAATGGAATAGTATAACTTTTTAAGCACAATATGTGATCTATATTTGATTTCACAAAAAGTGGAAACTGCTGTTACTCCCTAACTGATTGACTGATTGATTGATTTTTAGTTTTAAGAGTAGGAGTAGGACAGTTTTCTTATACCATGAAAAATCTTAATCCAATAGTTTTTTTCAGAAAATTTGAAATCATGAGATCACACACACACACCCCAGATGTTGCTCCGACAGCAGAGCAGCTGGCTTCACTAACTTTTTCTCTTTCTGTGAACATCACAACATTTTCCTGAAAAAGCAGCGACTGTAGTTGTTTCCCCACTCGTTCACACCACAACCACAGTTCAGAACCTGGTGTTCTTGTCTTTGCTGGAGAAAGACTCTGCTGCTGTGTTGAGGGGATGATGAAGGCCAGAGTGAGTCAGTGCCAACAGAAAAGGTGAACAAGAGGAAACTACTACATAAAGTTTAGAGACAACAAAATGTCCTGACACTTGCTGCACTTCAGTCAGTAAAACCGGAATTTGATGCAGTGATCGGATACAGTATACATGTACATACATGATCTGAACAGCTTCTAAAAGTCACTTCAGTGGCCTCAACAACAGTGTGTCCACCAACATATATGAGGGAATATTTCTACAGGGACAGAGATGATGGACATTAGAAGTTGTATCTGCTCCTCACTGTTAATATTGTGCAAACAGGATCCAATTCTCTCAGCTCTTGTTATTTTTTCCACACATGCAGAGTTGGTTTCAGGGCATGCTTACATTCCTTCTTATCAGGTGTTGTTGTTTAAGTTTGTTGAAATGTAAGTACATAACAGAAGGTATCAGGTATTATGTCAGAGAGGTCTGAGGTCAAATACTGTGTTCAGAAACAACTTACTCTCAATGGAGGATGTTATAAGGAGCTGTAATTGTGTTGTTAGATAATGGAAACCAGTACAGAACAGAGAGCAGAAATATAATGGTGGGATGTTTTATTGTAAGTATCTGGGGTAAATGTCCACATGTGTAATAGGAGATCAGCTTTCTTTGGAAAACAGCCGAGGAGCAAAATTTCTATAATAATCCAAAATAAAAGGAATTTCAATATGAGCAAGTCCTTTTTTAAGTCCTCTTTCAATTCATTAACCTGGTCCAAATCCCAAAAGTTGCTCAACATTTTTCTTCAGTCAGATGGGAATCACTTTTAGAGGAATCAGAGAACATCAGTTATTGTGCGGATTGGCTCAGTGTTACGTAATATGTTTTGAAATTGTAGTAAAGCTGGCTTAGTGATAACAACAAGTTCTGATCCAGTACTATTAAAACACAATGCATGTGGCCTGTAAGTGGCTTCAGATGTCGAACCAATCCATGATGACGTTTGTGTTTGACGAGCACAACAGTTGTGAGCCTTGAGGGAAAAGTAGCACAGCCACATTATATCAGTAAGAAGCTACTTAAAGACAAAATGTAGCAGGTTCCATGTTTGGTTGTAATGGATCAGTACAATTTGTCTACACTGTAGTGAAAGCAGCACATCAAGATCTCCAGTGTCTAACAGGAGAATCCACTGTCAGTGTCTGAACAAAATGAAGGTCATCTGTGTTTGTCCTCAGAGCACTGCACAACACAATTTTAATTTAAAATTAAATAAAACATTTGAATCCAACTTAATCTCCTACGCTTTGAAGAAAATCAACCAAAGTTGTAATAATTACCTTTTGTTTGTTATAACAAAATTAAAATTTTGAGTTCCTAATGCTATTAATTCAATTGTCACTTTTAACACACGTTCACGCTATGATGATTGTTCCTGCCTTCGACTACAGGCTCGTTGCATCATATCTTCACAACCTTGGTTTCTGTAGTAAGTGCAGTTTGACTCTATCACAGCTAACCTTGAGACAGAACTACTGATTGTAGGGCATAGTTGCAAATGATATAAGGAAACATGCGTATGCTTGTATCATGGTTAACTGTGACACCCTCTTCACAACTTGCTTTAGTTATACTGTACTTAACTCTAGGGGGTGTTTTTTATGAGGAGTTTGCAATGTTCTCTCCGTGTTGTTCTAGGTTTTCTCCAGGTACTCCAGCTTCCTCCAACAGTCCACAGACATGCAGATCGAGGTTAGGTGAATTGGAGACTCTAAATTGTCCATAGGTGTGAAAGTGAGCTTTGATGGATGGATGGATGAATACCAGTACCAGTATACATGTGGTATACCATAGATAATGGATGGATGGATGGATCGAGCTAAGCTGTACCACAAGAAAACTACATTATTCATCCTTTCATCTTGTATTTTTACTACTGGTGGGACAAAAACACAGTGTTTGTTCTGATTGTGGTGTCAGACAAAAGCTGTGTAACAACCATGGAAACTTTCCCCTGGAACCAGGAACCTTTAATGGGACTCCTCGTGTCTTCAAGGCACGGACCTGGGTCTAAATAAAGGTCTGTAGTATTGCCATCATAGTTAAAGAGTTTGTCCTCTATTGGTCATTTTAGGGTCAAATGCAACAACATCCTGGTCTTGTGATTTAAATTTTCACGATTTTATTACCATGTTCTTTATTCACATAAACTATATCTGCCCTTTTTCCTGCGATGTATTATCTCTGCTGTGATAGTACAGTAAACCCTGCCTCTATCAGCAGCCCTGTAGTAACCATTGTGTTACTGTGATTCCCCAACACCTGTCTCCACCGACCTGTAAAAAACCTGTTCCTCTTTCTCCATCCATACAGACCTTTATTCAGGCCACTTTAATTCACTGCTTGCCAGCTCCAGTCCAAGCTTTCCATTTTTTTTGCCTGTCTGAACTTTACCTGTTACAACTTCCTGCTTGACTGTTGGACTGTTTATCTTCTGTCTGATCCCTCTTGGATGTTTGCCTTTATCTGCCTGTCTGGCCGCGTCCGAGTAAACACCAGTTTTCTGTTTTGCCTGATTTATCTCTGAGTCGAAAAAGGTTTTAAACAGATCCTTAACACAATTAGAATTAACAGAGCCAAATGCTCATCCATTGAAGGTGTCCATGCAGTCATAAGGATCCAGGTCCACACCTCAGCTAAATATAAAGCTTGAGCTTTACATTTGGGTTTGTGCTGTTGTTGGCATGTTAGCACGCTATGTTCACAGTATCTCAAAAGTCACTGAGGTTTGACATGAACTATTACCAGAGTCACTGATGCTCGTTCCTTAAGGCGCAGGAATGTATTCAGCAAATTTCATAGTACGGAATGTAAACAATGCATTAAATTGGCTTTAGAAATGTAATATAAATAAGGAAATGCCTTCAGTTTGGTTTTCAGACCTTGAAGCTGAATCCTGTACTCTGTGTCCTGGTAGGAAATGAAATGTGTCTGTTAACAAAACAAACACCACAGAGTTCCTTCAACTCTCAATGTTTGCTACTCATTGTGGTGTTTTGTTATGTATGTTTTATATTGAAATACTGCAGATTACATTCAACAGCAGAGTTTTACTAAAAATTTTGGAGCTGAACTGATGAAAAGGATTAAAAATAGTGTAAATAGACTTTCAATAACATGTTTAATAAAATCAACTCCATCAATTTAGAATCATCCTCATATATAGAAAATGCTCTAGCATTAACTCTGTGTAAATTCTGTATTTACACTGTTCTTATCAAGGCATAGGGTTAGGGTTAGCATGCAGACTGCACAAATACTAGCTGACGTAGAATGCATCAGTTTTTAGGGGTTTGCAACATATAATAAATTATGTGATTGTCAAAGCTGTCGTTATATGACGTATATATAATATTAGCAAAGATAAAAATTGTTTTCTGTATTATTATTTTTTCCTTTTTTCCATGCATCTCCATGTTAGAAAATTTACCACAGGAGGTGTTTGACCACTTTGTCCCGACTGTAGCTTAGTAAGTCAGTTGAATCATGTCATAAATAACATTTTCACATGATTTGCTTCTGCTTTTAAAAATAAGCTACCATCTTTTATGTATGTAAGTTAATTTTTATCGTATCACACTGACATGAGACTGAGATATGTGTAAGTTCTTAAATTTATAAAATTTCCAGCACAGATCGAAAATAAGTTATGATATAAAAGCAACTTGAGCAGTCAGAAGATTTAATTATGTGGTTTATCTCTTTATTAAACCATCCCAGGCTCATTCTCAATACAGTGCACTGCATTTCAGTTCAAAAACGTAAATGCACTCATGGAGACCAATTTGATCGATCGTTCCAAAGCCTTTTGCATTAAATCACAAAACGCTTCATTTTATAAAAAACACACGACAATGTCAGCCTGCCAAAAATATATTACAGCTTAATATACAAATATATAAATGTACATTCAATAAATACAATATGAAGTATTCTTGAGATGTATTATGGCTATCATGTAGGCCAGTCCATCACAAATTACAAAGGGTCGCATTTTTTATTTCTTTAAGTAATTTTGTAACCTTTGACCTTTCAAAATAAGGGCATGTCATTGACTGAGTTTAGTCATTGAGGTAAACTGTTTCAGGTGAGACGCTGTTGACCCCTTTCATTCAGTTTTCAAGTGCACTTAGCCATCACTGGATCATTAAAAGTGACCTTCATTTTCGTGACAAAACCTAAGAATGCGTGACCGTGCTGAGCAGCACTCACAATGACCTTAACATCAAAAGCAGCTGCAGGGGACAAAGAGCCTTTTAAAGTGACCAGTGACACAATAACCAAAACACAATCAAAGAAAAAGCAAGGCTTCAAGAGATCAGATATTAACATATAACTCATATTCCAAAAAAATATATAATACTGATTAAAAAAGGTATGTACAATGACCACTGTGATTTTCTGTTCAGCAGACAGTAAATATTTCTTTGGTCCCTGTTGATTGTTGGGAATTAGTGGTGAGATGAAGACAAACGTTCGGGACAAAGTGATCAATTTGCACGATAACAAACAAAAAGCAAAAAAAAGAAATGTGCCTAAATTATGCCTGTCACTCGGAATCAGTTTTCTAACAGTAACAACAATCCAAGTTCACATAAGCAAAGAACAGACACCAGTTCAGAGTTTGAAATTACATTATAAATCAATATAAACAGTACATGACAGCTACAACATCATAAAACAAGTGATTACAAAGATATGCAGCGAAAGAGTGTGAATTTATAAAAGTGTGAGAACACATCATCATGAACAGGAGAGCTTGTGAACAGAGCTATATATATATATATATATAAAAATATGAATATATGTCCAGTTACTTGCAAGGCATTCCCAGTGTCGCGGTGTGCTGTCCATCTTTGGCTGCGTGTGAAGAAATGGATAATGTGCATGATGTGTGTTGTGTGATCGAGTGCAACTTCAAGCGTTGTTCTTCACAAAAAGACTGCCCTGCATTTTCAGCTTGTGCATCCTAGAGACAAGAAAACACAGACAATCAGTCAATACAAGAACTTCTGCTTCTGATGATTCATAACAAGGCTCGTTGATTAAGTTGGAGATGTTCTGATACCATTTTTCCTCTTTCTGATACAGATTCTTATACCCGTGATTCGTATTTTGAATAAAGAATGATACCAAGAACCTTTCCGAAATCGGTTCACCTTAAAAAAGAACTTATATAATGTGTTTCATGAGCTGTATTAACCCTATATGGAAGTGGTATGGCTTATTGCCGGTGTTGTGATTGGCAACACTAGTTTAGCTAGCTCTGGCTAATGCTGAACTACCGGAAATCACTTCTTCATCACACTAAAAACTGTACTTGCCAAAGGCTGTACAGGATAATTGCTGTTTTCGAGCAGTGAAAAAGAAGGGATTTCTGGGTGCTGGAAAATAATCCACTTTAAAGATATAGTATTGGATCAGTACATAGATTTACAGACTTGCCATTGCCTGACCTGGCATTTCTGCAGTATAGGAAATATTTTGGATGCTGGTATCGGAACATCTCTACTCTAGGTGGAACATCCAGACTCAATATACAGGAAGAGATTTCTTAACTTACAATTTCTCTTTACGGCTCATGTTGTCTTCTTTTGACTTGACAAACACTGCATCTGCTCCTCCCCTGACCAGGTAGGCAAACTCTCCTTCCTTCGGACTAAAGATCACTCTGAAATAACACAGGAAAACATGTCAATAGAAATACATAAATATCACCAGGTTTATTATGTGTCTTGGCGTTGCTCATTGCCGACAGCTTACCTGGACTGGGTCTCCCCAGATTTGATGCGCATTTTCCGGATGTGGAACTTGCTGCTGCCCCAGAAGGACCAGCTGATGATTGAGTCCTTCTCCCAGCGCAGCTTCACGATCATCAAGTCTCCGATGTTGACGTCAGTGGTGATGAGGAAAGACAAGGTGGTGTTACCATTCAGCTCCGGCCTGCAGGGTGAGAGGAGCAGAGACGGTTAGAGGTCAGCTGCTCAGATCGGGCTGTACAATGTCTGTGTGCAGGACACATGTGTGTGACCTAGGGAACTGTTTCATGTACATACAGGACAAAGGGGATGTCCTCCTTCTCTCCGTTGGTTCCAAACAGAGAGATCTTCATTGGCTGCTCGGTGAAGGTCAGACGGTCCTTACTGAAGAAATGCACCTTCACTTGGTAATGGAAAACTGTGAGAGCAGAGGAAAGGTTTACACCTTAGACGCAGTTTAACAGCCTGTCGTGTTCCCAGCGACTGGCCCACACCTCTCACAATGACACTCAAAGTAGGTTTAATACTACATTATAATAATATATTATACATTTATGTGACTGTCACAGTACTGCATTTACCAGTAATGCTTTAAAGTTTCTAAGTTTTAGTTGTTACTATGGTTATTGACGTCCAAATTAGGATGTGAATGCTGCGATTTAGTTTTTCTTATTCTTAATGCTATTGGGCTATTCTTATAAGAATAGTCTTTGACATGAGGAATACTAATCCAACTTTATTCACTTTGCACCAACATTAATTATTGTTAACTCTGCCAAAGAAGTTATGTTTTGATCTGCATTTGTTTGTCTGTCAGTTTACGCAAAAAAAACGCTGAAAGGATTAATATGAAATGATGCAGTATGGGTCAGGGAAGAACTGGGGAAATATTGGTGCAGATCCAAATCAAATCTGGATCTACTGAATTTAAATGTGGTTTCATCAGGGGACTGTTGGGCCTTGGTGGAAGTATGCACTATTATAGTGCCATTCTAGTTTATTATTAGACACAGACTCACCTAACATTACCAACACTGCAGCTTGGACAGTGCTAGGTGACCACAGGCTTAAAAGCTACAACAATGCTGGTGAGATTTCAGAAGTCTGGGATAACTAAAATTTGTGAGGATGAGCTCTAAAAATGTTGAGTGCCTGATAAGCCAAAATAAACTGATAAATCACAGATCTACGATGAGTATGGCCAATCAACCTACAGGTAACAGCTTATCCTTCTCAGAAATATTAGCTCATGCATATAAACAATATAAATATAACTTGACAAACATTGACTAAACATACTAAGCCTTCATTAACATAAGCATCTCTAAAACATCATGATCATTCCGCTGTCCCACATTTACACTGCTGACTTAAATCTTTTCTACTGCTGTTATATCACATGCAGTGGTGTCACGTTACCTCTGCATACCCCCAGCCACTAAAATACCCATGACCATGTGACCTTCCGAGTGCTCGCTTCTTGTTGGACACGTGTTTGCATGAAATGATTCTCCAGTTCACAGATTGAATGTGGGATCTATTTCTAACAATGCAAACCTTACTAATATTAATTCCATCTCACAGAGTACATTCAACAACAGCAGCTCATACAAGGAGGATTACTCCAATGATGTATGAAATAATGTGTGTGCATTAATTAACTCATCTCTCACACATCTTTTGTAAAATACTCAAGCCATAGTAAACATAGTATATAATAAACATATTCTATTTGTTTATTTTTATTAAATTCCCTTCTATATAAATATAATTTAAAGATATCATATCCCTAGAAGGTAAGTTTCGGTCTTTTCTCAGTATTTACCTTTGTATGGCATCATTTCGCGGGTCTTGAGGTACATCTTGGTGCTGCGGGCGGTGCGGACCTTGGTGTTGAGGTTGTAGCCGAGCTTGTTGCAGCGGTTCTTCCTGCAGTTGAGGCACAGTCCCTTGTTGAAGGCCTCTTTGGAGTTGCAGCGGTACGCCATGGTCTGCTGCTGGGTGTTCAGCAGAGAGTCGATGAACAGGTGGATCGAGCGCTCGTGGGAGCATTTGATGAGCTGGTCCATATCTGTAACGCACGCAGAGCAAAGAAACAATGAAACCACATCATGTGTCAATGTTAAAATGTCTTCCTGCATGTGTTATTTTATGACTCTTGACATGTCAGCGTCGACTAATTGCAGACCCACATGGCATTTCGCCCTAAGTTCTTTTTTGCTCAGTTGAAGCGCTTGGCAACAGCAAAGGAAGTGAACCAGAAGAAATACAAAGCTTTCATCTCTATACATAAAAGAACACGTCTGTGACTCACTGTGAATCTGTAGCTGGTAGAAGTACATATACTTTAATTGTGACCCCTGAGAGCTTTTACAGAGTGTGTCTTTTGACACCATGTAAACGTACATGACAACTGTTGACAATTTACAACACCATCGCTCCGATCATTCACTTTAATGTCGACAGAGACGTGTATTTATGGTGCCGTGCATCGCACAGAGGAGGCGGAGAGGATTGGTACCATCAGGTCTGAGCAGCTGTTTCTCACTAAATTTAACTTTGGCCGCTGTAGTCATGTCGACTCTTTAATAATAAGGGTAGATGCTTGCAAACGTGCTGAATGAATAACCTGATGCTTGCAAACATACTTGCAATGTATGAATTAAAACAAAAGCAAAGTGATTTAAAAGTCTTTACAAACAGCAAGGAGGGTTTGTGGTACATACTTTGGAGGCCCTTGATCCCCCCCAGTGCAATTCCCATCAACGTATTCTGGATGTCGCAGCCTGGCTGGAAGGTGCCTCCATTGGGGTAAATATCGATGTGGCCCACAGCCCTCTGGATGCCAATGCTGCGGTCTGGGGAGCCCCTGGTGTTGGTGTGCAGGACGTCCACAAACTGGGCATCATCACGGGACAGGGTGCTCTGGTCGTCAGCATGCTCGAAGGTGGGACCGGCCGGATCCAGACCTGCACAGAAGAAAGAAAGCATTTTGTCTTATTACTACAGAATAAGGACATGGATGAGGAAACAAACACAGAAAGATCACATCTATGATTGAACCAATAAAACTGTACATTAAATCATCTGCTTCATTTGGCCTCTTTCCACCATGGGCAGCTGTGAACACTGATCAGTGTGAAGCAGGGACTGGGGGCTCTTAATGGGCTGCTGCTCTCAGAACAAACCCATCCACCATTATTCTAAGCAGGTCAGAGAGATTTAAACACTGGATAAACTCAGTAAGATGGATACATTCACATTTACAGCACAGGAAGAAAATGGTTGTTGGGGTTTGCATCCACTGGCAAATTTAGATTTAAAATTAAAATCAGTTTGATTCTTGTAGCTGAAATGCAAAACAAATGGTCACAACAGATTTGTAAAGAGGAGGTGAAACACTGCACTTATAATGGCAGAATTCTCCTTCAATTAAACTAAGTAGTTACAATTAACTAACCATAAGAAAAATGTTGCATCTACAGCCAACCGTTGTGTATTTTCTGTTCAGAAATGTTTCTGTAGCTGCTTTCAGACATGCACTGAACTCCAGATAATCTCGTCACATTATCCAAAGGGGCCATATGTGAGAACGCTAATGTCCAAATCAGCTGCTGCGGACGTTCTCTGGAACTTTTCCTGCCTGTACCCTGGTGAAAATAACCAAGTGAGGCTCACTATGTGAGAACACAGAAAGAAAATGTGGATTTGAGCAAGTGGGCATATTGATGATGTTTCATGTGACAGACATAAAACTGACAAATAAAATGAATATGAATATCTCAGAATGAAAAAGAGGTGTCATACATGTAGAGGAAGCAGAAGAATATGTCATCTTGGAAAGACGGGTTTTGAGAGGTTTTGTAGTGATAAGTGTGGATGTGCTGTACATGATCGATACAGTGGAATCTATACGTCATGTCCTTCATGCTCCACCCAGGCACCACCCATCAGATTTGCTGTTGCGACCTGGACAATCTCCAGCTGTGTTCTTTATATGTGAAAGGCAAACTCTGGAGAATGCCTGGAACCACTTTTTTTGGACATTTTCCACAGTTCATGTCTGACAGCGGATTATGTTTGTATCCGTGTCTAATGTGATGAGGATCCACTGACCAAGTTGACGTTCTCACCTGTGATCCTACTGATTTTATGGTTGGTGAGGTCTCCGGCAATTCCAGCCACATGTGCTCCCAGACTGTAACCCAGCAGGTGAATCCTCTCCCAGGGCAACTGCAGCTCTTTCTGAGAGGGCAGAAATGGATGAGATGTGTCAGGAGGCTACATTAATACTGGAGAGTGAGATGTTCCTGGCAAAACTCAAACTTCCTTTAAATAGAGAGTGGGACATTGTCCAAGACTTTGAAAGACTTTTAAGATTAAGGTCGCGTAAACAAAGGACAAACAAATGAGAGCAATGCTCGAGCCAACATGCCTTCACGATGTTCATACAAAAGCTGTGTTACACTAAACACTGAGCCTTGTGACGAGAGGCTGCTGTGAGCCACAGACACAGCTATAAAAGGCCTTTATGGGGCACTAAAGATCATAACCTGTCGGAAAACATATCCCGTAAAAATATAAATATATATTACATCATCAGATACAGATTTACCAGCAGCTCTAATTTCTTTGCTGTCACATTATCAAGTGAACATGGTGATAATTTGATATTCAACTAAGAGGATGTAGGAAATGTGACCCATCTGGAATCCAGCTGTTCAATGAGAACACTCACTTGTATCCAGGTTACAAACTTGGCGACATCACGTCCCACCAGTTTAGTGTAGGCAGCGGAGGTCGGGTAGTGCTGGTTGGCCCGGGTCAGCCAGTCCACCACAATCACATTAGCGGTGGGCTCTCGCTCGTACAGTGCAGACACCAGCTTGGGCACCCAGCTCTCAAACATCCCTGTTACCTGTAACACAACACACACACACAAACTCCGTCACACAGATTTCTACGGTCTGCTGCAGTATGGCGTGATTTATTCTGGCCTCTGCCCTCGTTCTTGTGGTTGGAGAGCAGCCAGGGTGTCATTAGGTTCAGATCTTGTTGCATGACTGTGGGAGGAGATATATGGACTGTTTGCACTAACTCAACCTTGTCAGTGTGTTTTCTCAGAAATGATGAGGATTTTTGTTCATCAGTTTCCTTAATGAATCATATTCATATATCAGATTTAGTCTGATTATAAAAGAGAATAAATCATAAATCAAGGCTTCAACAGTTTGGACTTAGCTCAAGAATAATGATTAATTAGTTGGTTGTTTAATTGTTGTTATCATTGTTTTGTTACAGCCAGACCGATACACTGGTTGGCCAATAATAATCAGCTGATATGAGCCCTCCACAGA